ATATGCTGTCTAAGATATCCCAGATCTTAACATAGATTGTTATGATGCTATCTGCTTGAGCTGTGAGTGTATGGTGTATGGTGAGACTGTCCAGGGTAAACTACCTAGCAGCGAGGCTAAAAGCTGGAAGTCTGTACGTATCTGAATGGAGAACTCACTTTAGGGAAGTTGTTCTTTTTTATTCCCCCCCCCCAAAAAACTGTACACGAGTAGAAAGAACACTCTTTCTATTTTCTTCTTTTTTTATCTACACAGTTTGCATATGTTCATTGGAAGAAGCTACAGCTGACAAATGTTAGTGCTTTTTTGTGAGCTGAAGAAGGCCTACAAAAGAGTCAAATATGAAGGCGAAAATGTCTTATGATAAATGTATTATTTTTCTAGAAGATAAAAGCATGCCTTTATTGATTTTCCATGTTTCTAATAATTTGGCTGCCTTACAGCACATTTTAGTCTCTAAAAGTCTTTACATTTCCCTACTCTCTGTTTGGTCGCTATGCAGAGCTGCCAGAGAAAGACTGAGCTAAATTCCTGTGATCTTAAAAGGAAACGAGGGAAATTAATGGCTAGCCCTTCACTGCCTGCACTTTATGATTGATAACAGCAGAAGGAGGGTGGTGGGTGATTTCAACAGTATGGCAAATTTTGAATTCCAGCTCCTTCAGAATCAGGGTAAATTTGTGCTGACAGGTGATAATTTAAACACACTGGAACAGCTGGTTCTGAGTAACAGGGCATCTGTATGCGCGTGTGCATGTGCGCTACATTCAGCTGGCTCCATGCACGCTTGTATGAAGACTGGTTGTCATATTTCCTTTGAGTGAATTCCATTCGTTCACAACATTTAACTTCATGCTTATGCAGGTGTGTTGGTCTCAGAAGCCAAGAAACTCTTTTTTACAGAACACTGCCTGCTCAATCCACAGCTCTAGAGATATAATTTTCCTTTGTTTTCTCCCTTATTAAATGTCTCCCTTCTTATACAAACCTGCAGAACTTTCTGTGACTTCAGACTAACAAGGGGTTTCATTTCAGCACTCTTGTAGGACATTTTTATAAATATATCCTGTCTAGAAAGTGCTTCTGTTGACTTGCATTCTTATATAATTCAGTTGCAGTGACTTTGTTGGGACCACACTCATTCTTCCCTAAAAGAGTCAACAGTATTTCTCACTGAATGTATCTGGATCTTCTTGATGAGTCTTTAGTTTCACAGACTATGCAATAAACTTTGTAACACATATACATTTAGATGTGTGTCACTGAGATGGATAACCATTGCGCTCTACTCTTTTATTCCTTCATGTATGCATTTATGTAAATGGCTGCGTAATGTACCATCACAAATATGTAAATTATAGTGCTTGTGTGTAATCTCCCAGAATCCAGGAAATCTTTTGAACACTTTTACACTGCCTGACAACATACTGTATATCAAAAATGGACATAGCACAGCATGAATAGGTTGGTCAAATGCAATATTGTACATTTACTCATGTACTTTACTAATATATAGCAGTGTTTTGGATGGAAATTCTGCACTTCATGCATTGTACTTGCTTGAAAGCTTTAGTTGCTTCCTGTTTTCCTGCACTTGTCAACATCCACCAGGTCAGTAAAAAACACTTAGCAAGCATAGTTTCAGAAACTAGAAGATAGTACCTTCCAAATCTGTTCTTTTGTTATTCAGATAAATGTTCTATATAAAGAAGTCAATTAGATGGGAATTATATTATTATCTGGCACATGCAACACAAATGGTTCCTAACATTTCCCACATGCCCATGTTTATTTGGGACCTATAAATCTACTTGTGACTTATGAATGCAATTTTTCAAGAAGGAATGCACCCAGCATCACAAAGAGTCAGCTGAGACATGACTAATGTTGAACCAACCTAGAACAGCTGAACCAGACAAAACAACCTTTAAATATTACAGGGTCAACAAAGTTTTAATAGAAGAGTTAGACATTGCCCTCCATTTGATTTGTGGGTTTTGGTGTATATTTACGTTGTTTACACATGCCAGCAGTCTTAATTTGGTGATATTTCAGAGTAGAGCTGTCACTTCATCTCAGAATAAGCCTATAAAGCACTGAAGGTGCTGACACATGAAAAGAGATATGAGTGGTGGGATTAATCATGTGCCACAGAATGTGTATAAGGAGGGACGTACCTCAGCTAAGCTGCAGGAAATATGATGCAGGGAGAAAGAGGAAAGATGGGGCACACTGATTGATGAGTGTGGTGTGGATTTAGTTCTCTGCCTACCTACACTCAACTCCACCCCCACCCACCTGAGGTTGGTTTAAAGTAACAGCATGTGCCATGAGAAGCAGCAGCAGGTTCCATCAGCCATCTAAGCAACACAGGTGGACAGGAAAAAGTCAAAAGCCAAGGTCAGGCAGGGAAGTACTATTTGCGGCTGTGTTCATAAGAGCAGAGATGATAGTAGACTAATATAATGTTCAGCCAGTATATAAAAACACCTAATACCACCTAATATTGCGTATAATGTGTAATCAGAAGCTAGGATGGTGGTAGTGGATCGTTTAAGACCTGTATGTTGTAGCTTGGGACCTCTATGGATCAAGTTTTTCATGCACATCCCACAGGTGCACAGTAAGACTGGAAGTGGGAAGTCTGGAGACCAGGTTGTGTTCCTTGAGCAGTTTTTGCAGTATGACAATGTGTAGGGAGACTACAGCCATGGGAGTGTGTTACCTTTGGTGTTATGTGTTAAAACGCCACATTCTTCTCACTAAAAATTGCATTTCTGTATCGATTTAATGTTTATTAAAACATTATATGAGCTAAAACATAGGAAAACTAAGTAACTGGTCCTTCTCCTGCTATTACAGCCTCTCTGGACATCTGCCAAATCTTTGCCAAATCAAACATGCAAATAATCAAGATTCAGAGCTTTGGTAATGACAGTGGGATACAAATGATTTGAGCCGTACTATTAACATACTGGAAAGAGTTAGTGAAGCTATAAGCAGAGCGGTAATAATCAATAAGCGGCATTATGACTCCATGCTGAGAAGGAGCAGTGCAGATGTGTTCACGGGATGGTGGATTGGACTGTGGCACTGACAAAAGACATGAAAACAGATTTTTCACATTTTAAGCTTTTTAAAACAGCACAATGATGTTGAACTTGGCCCATGCTGTTAGTCATATTACCTACAATGGTGTGAAAAAGCGTTGGCCCTCTTCCTGATTTCCTATTTTTTGAATGTTTGTCACACTTAAACATTTCAGATTATCAAACAAATTGAAATGTATGACAAAGACAATACAATTACATTTCTAAATGAAGGTGTTTATTAGTAAGAGGAAAAATGTTATATTTCATCTTCCTTTGCAGAGCTTGTTCAATAATGTGATTTTTAATGTTGATACTTGGAGATTTAAAAATCTGATATATTAGCTAATCTAACTTCCCTAGCATTTGTTATATGTAGTTATTGGAGTTATATGGAGTTACTAAGAAAAACTGACAATGCCGTTTAAAAAAAAATTAAGTCGTGGATTATTCGAATCCACTCTGTTTGGATCAGCTGGTTGTTGAGTTTGTGACATTCCAAACACGCAATGTCAACAAGTGCAACGTGCCCTCTGGTGGATAAACAATGTGACACCAACACTCATATCATGGTTGGAGGGTGTTTCGTCCATCTCTATTTTACTTTTGTTCATTTGGATTTATCAGCTGTTATAAATGCCAATAATTTGACATCAATTAAAGATGAGCCATCATCCAGGCAAGTCGAACTACAATTGTGGTAACATAGAGTAGTCACACAGACAATACCATAGTACATGTACATGTAGAGTGCCAACAACACATTAGCAGCAAATCCTTTCATTATAAAATGCTTTAACACGGAGCCAGTGGAATTCTAACTCGTTCAGCAAGTTTCTGTTTGCATTCTAATAGCAAGAGGTGACAGTTTGTTTCTGGACTTGTAGTTAGCACAAATCCATCTTCACACAAAAACTGTAGCCCAGTAATGTTTTGTAAATTTCTATAATTTTTTTATAATAAACCAAAGAATGGGGCATGTGGTAGGTGAATTTCTGGTAGTGTGCTGGATGATTAATGATTGTCATGGTTCTGGGCCATTTGACCCAGCATTTGGAGTTTATGTTTTTGGTGACTATTATGTCTTATTATTATGTCTGGTTTAAGGTTAATTTCATTAGTTTTTATTCTGTGTCTCTGAGCTAGGTTCCCCTTGTGTTTTTGTCCTCTGTACCCTCTCTGTGTTTGTGTCCTTGTGTCTTGTTTCCCTTTTCTGTTCCTGTGTTTCTGTTGTCAAGCTCGCGTGTCTTTATCTGGTTATCACTGTGTATATAACTTCCTGTCTTACTTTGAAGGTACCTCGTCTCATGTCATGTTCAGTTTTGCTTCCCCTGTCTCATCGTGTCTGATTAGCCTCGGCTGTGTTTCCCTCCTGTTTCTCATCCCCTCATGATTCCTTGTGTATTTAAGCCCTCTGTTTCCCTCTGTCCAGTGTGGCGATCTCCCTCATGGTTGTGTTTCTCCTGGTTTAGTCTGTATTATTTCCTGTCTAGCAATAAATCGATGTCTTTTGAGTTAAAGTCCCGTCTGCGAGTCTGCGTTCGGGTACAACCCGCCTGCTTCTCACAGCTAGTTTATGACAAATGACACCTTTGGAAAATATTAAACTATGATTTATCTCATTCTCTTGTTGTACCTCGCCTGGTGTGAAGCTACACTTATAGGACATGTCATAAATCTGAGTTTATAAATGTATTTATTTCTAAATATGAATTAAATGCATTTCAGAATACTGACTGTGCAGTACATAAATAAGATCACTGAGTGTGTTTATGTGTTATACTTCTTAAAAGAGGAACACAGGTAACGCAGGTAACACATCTCCATTGCATTTAAACCCAGAAAGTTTCTCTGTTCACTCAGCATGGATGAGAGGAGTGATGTGATGTGAGAAGGAGAGCTCATACATACCCTCTATTCTTCATGACTGCCAGAGTGGGTGTATTGCACCTGGATACTGCTTTATGTACTCACGTTGCTGCAGTATCTAAAATGGAGAAACTGAAATTCACTCTTCACCAAATGGACAATCACTAATTTCTATTCCAGCACACAAAATGGTAAAAATATCCTCCCGCCATCTGTCTTGAATTACAAACCATCACATCATGGAAATGTGTAAACAAACTCAGCTCCTGAGCCCAGGGAGAGGTTCATCTACTTTCTAGTTTGCATGGCAAATGGGAAGCTATGCTTGGCATGCAGTTGGGAGACCGTGTGCATAGTTCAAATATACTCACAGAATGAAATAAAACACAACTCATGGGTTTAAAATTGCTCCCCCCCTTCAAGATAATTAAAAAAGCAGCCCAAAGGATTTTAATATTTCAAAGGCAGAAAACAGGTGATGTAAACATGACCACCACGGTAAGCATGTCTGTTATACCCAGCGCATAAATGTCTGTATGTCAGCGCTGATTATTCAAACCCTGTTTAAAATGTGACACGTGTTGTCCAAAAACATTTCCTCTAAATTTGTAAAGTTACTGATTTAAAACATATATTTTCGAATTTTTAGTTGCATGTCAAACATATGATAGACTCTTGAGCATATTTATATAGCTAAATCCACAATGGTATAATCACGCTGAATAAAAGATGCCCAAGCACCAATGCACTCTAATGCAAGCCTCTGAACTGTATGTTGATAAGTACATGAAGCGTACCTCTACCTCTATAGCTGAAAGCGGTTTGCATCCGCACTCTGAGGGTCTGCTGAATTGTTTTTAATATGGCACTTTTTGACAAACTGCAGATGATGAAATCCTATTTATTGGAGAAAGTGTCCTTCAGCTACTGTTGCTCATACTTACTGAGTTCCCTAGCTACTTCTTTACTATGTCAGTAAACCTTTTGAAAAGGAAGGTGTTGTAGTTTTAAAGAAACATCTTAATTGAACCAAAGGCAAAAAATTGTAATGAATTTTATGTGACTGTTCATATTAAAGCCAACAACAAGTGAAAATCCAAAACACGGCTCCAATCCTTTGTATTAATGATCTCCCCCTCTCTCTCTCTCTCTCTGTGTGTGTGTGTGTGTGTGTGTGTGTTGTGTTTGTGTGTGTGTGTGTGTGTGTGTGTGTGTGTGTGTGTGTGTGTGTGTGTGTGTGTGTGTGTGTGTGTGTGTGTGCTGTGTGTGTGTGTGTGGTGCCCTCACAGAAGGAAGGTCACAGCAGGAGCTTTTCTCAAAAGCATCTCCAATCAGTTTTTTTTTACAAGAAGCGTATTCTTTGCAATACTTTATAAATATGAAATTTTAAGATTTTGAGTTCATGCACATTGTGAAACCAGAATCTAAATATTTGTGTCACAGTGATCTCTATAAAAGCATGTTGTTTATGGGGATAATGTGACAAATCTATTGTGGGCCCTAATAATGATCAATGGTAAGTGAAGAGGAAGCTTGAACCCTAACTCTGGACATTTTCATGACAAGTGACAGCGCAGACATGTGCTAACGAGAGAACATGTTTTTCATCATAAAGACTGTGATATGAAGCATCGTTAAAGTGTGACTTCAGTAATGTTGACTCATGCTTTTAATAGATGACTTAAAAACCCTAAACTCTAATTTGAGTGGTTTATTTTAAGTTTACAGAATATAACATCTGGTAAGACGATGAGTTTTACTTCTCACTGTTCGTGTTATGTGTATCTATTTATCATATATGTTGCTTTGCTCTGTAAAATGTTTCATTGTATTCATGAAATAAACCAGACTTTCACTGTCGGCATCTTTTAGTGTTTTTCCTCTTTTGTTCACTCCAAGTTAACAAAACCCACAGACATCCAGAGTTAACTCACTAACAGCGTAGAGCAATCTCAGTGTATTTAGCTGCTTTTTCCCTAAACACAATCAACTGAGAGAAATGGCTGTAGTCATCCACTTGGGTCATTGTGAATGTTGAAGGAGATTTGTTCCATAGACACTGTATACTAGTGTTTCCTACACTTAATCCAACACTACTATGTTCTATTTAAACCCAGATTCCTTTTATAGTTTGCAGTGAAATTTGTTAAACCATTGCTTAATGGGACAGAAGTACAATTCACTCTTTTACTAACACATTGTAGATAAGTTTATTGCTGGACAACACAGCTAACAGCCTCACACACTCTTTAGATTTTTGAAGTATTGTGTGTAAAGGTTTTAGTCTATCAAACCTTACCCTTTTCTCCCCAGTATCACAACAGTATGACTCCCAAAGTACGGCTCAGTAAACAACAATGATTCTAAAGCCAGAACAGAAAGATACAGTTGGAAGATGAATGATTGGTTTTTATGATGGTAGTAAACACCCTCTTCTTCTTCTCTTGTTGTTGTTCTTTGTGTGTGTGTGTGTGTGTGTGTGTGTGTGTGTGTGTGTGTGTGCCTTAGAAGTCAAATAATACATTAGCCATACTTAAAAAAACATCTGAATTTCATTTAGAACTGAGATTCTAAGTTGCAAGCAGAAATCTTATGCACAGCCAGGAGCATGTTTCCCCACTTTCACAATGCTAAGGTGTCAAATCCACAACCCCCAACAGATGGTTTGTTACACATGGGCGAGAAGAGCAAGCTTTACTTACATAGCCTCACAAACGATAGATTTTTAAAGTTTTTGGGTACAATGATTTAGCCACAGATGTAACTTCTACTTTTGATAAAGATCACTCCACCTGCATATTTCTTAAGAAATTAAGCATCTTTATTAAGCTCTTATTTATAAATGTCTACACAATAATAGACACTGTGTGCTCTGTGACATTATAGTCTTCTGCTTCTGCTTCCATTGGTTTGCATTTTAATTTCCCAACCTTTCAGGTTGTTATGAACGACTTATATTTCTAACATTTTGTGATGTAAAAAGTTTTTATTTTCTGTGTGATGGAATGAGTTAAGACACAAGTTATTTAAACAATTACAAATTATAAAAAGCACACAATCCCATCGCACAACATCAACATTTATTTATATACAAAAATAAAAATGTTTTTTTACAGAAAAGAATTGTAACTTCATATTTTGTCACCGATTATTTTTTTTAATTTTATTTTTGTATATAAATAAATGTTGATGTTGTGCGACGGGATTGTGTGCTTCAATTTTACTTATAATGTGCCAAATAACTACAACAGACAACTCAAGGCAATGCCGTCCAGAGTAAGGATCTTGTTAGACAGTGTTTCTAAGATTTTTACGCCCCCTTACAATAACCTCAGTTTTATCTGAACTTAGAAGCAGATAATTAAACCTCATGTATCTAAGACATCCCGGCAGTCAAGACGAATGACTTTAATGAAATTGTCATGCTATTTAAATAAATTGTGTATGCTCCACTTATGTAGGTTAACAAATGCCTTCTGTGATAAGCTGCAACACATTAAAGATCACAATTAACGTACTGCATGTTTCAACATCAGGCCTGGTTCAAGATTCTGGTAGTTTATGGGTAACAACCTCAAATTATTCATTTTAACATTATTAACAATGTGTTGGTTTGTAAACTGTTCCATCCAGTGATGGAGGTTTTTACAGCAAAGAGATTGATTTCTTTACAGCCACCATGTCAGTGGTAACCCATCCAGGGTTTGGAGTGGAGCTGGATTTTGAAAATAATATCAAAATTTTGAAACGAACTCTAATGCATTGAATTAGGCCTTGCAGATTTCCTGTGGTTTTCCAGTGTGTTGATCCAAATAGGCAAAAATCATTTAAAAAAGGATGATGGGTGTAGATCCAAACCATACCCCTAATATGACAATGGTTTGCTGGAGACAATGGATGTTAAGATGTTAAAGACTAAGACTAAGTCAACTATGCAAGAAAAAAAGACACTTATGCAAAACCAGAATAGAAAATGTTTTAAAAATATAACATTTTGGTGTGGATATATACGACATTCTCTCAGTAGCTTTTTTTCTGATTGTACACTCTTCAATAATGATATTAGCCAATATCAGAGAGGCCTGTTGAACCTCAGACATGACCTTATGCTCTTGATGAACACTTTGGCCTTTTTGTTGGACAACCACTCATGTCAGAGCAGGAAGTCAACTGAATTTTCCTCCATTTGTAAGATTTTTTGTAAGGCCTTCATGACCATAGATTGGTGGAGTACGCACTCCATGGAAATTTTTTTCTAACCTTTTCCAGTTTGGAAGTCGTGACTTTGATTAATGAATGATGCACTTCTGTAGACGTAGAACACGATAGAAGACCAATGTTTGGGCTCTTTAAATAGATCAAAACCATATTTAATTTTGAATCATTTTTCTCAGTAAATTAATGCAGTAGTATTATGCTTTTGTAGTATTTGTTTAATAATGTTCTTCTCTAGATTTAGGAAATTTATGCGATTTCTGTCAGATTGTATGGAATTTCTGTTGGTACTTTGGTGAGTGGTTGCTGCTTGTAAAGTGCTTTATAAATAAAACTGGCTTGGCCCACTACATCTCAGTGTTGCTACATGAAATTAATTGATACATTTACTGACTGAAAAAGAAATATTATATAGAAAATTTCAAATATCTGTATCAAAAGGTAGGAATATGTATTTCATATTTGTTGGTATACTTATTATAATATATCAACGTAATATATCAGTTAAATGTCAATATTTTATTTTATTTTATTTTATTTATTTCCTTGTCCCATTCATTACTTTAGCAATCAGAATTCTTGCCAGGAAAAGATGACCAACTGATTTATTTTTTCACATTTTATATTATTATTATTTATTTATTTATTTTACTTTATTTTAAGTTATTGAAAAAATAAAGTTTTTCAAGCACCCGTGTGTACACCTGTGTGCATGAGCGTGCTTGAGCTCAAAAGGTTTATCCATGTAACGATCTGCTAGAGGGTGTGGGGAGCCATAGCCCCGCCCCCCATGGCATGAAGCAGACATGGAGGAGACCCAGGCCAGGACATCCACAGGCCCCCAGAGTGCAAAAGCCCAAGGAGGACCACCAGAGAGGCAACAGCGCCACCTTCCTGGAAAGA